GGCGCCCACCAAGAGGTGTGTGAAGACCTCGCTCACGTCGAATCCACGTCGACGCTTGTCGATTGGGCCAGCCAGTCAATGTCTGGCTGATATCGCGCAAGCCAAGGGATGCCCAGGATGCAGTCAAACGCGTAGTTCATCTCGATCACCAAGAAGTCGTCCTTGCTACGGAAGCCGTCGAACGTGTACGACAAAGACACGTCACGCCGCGCAACGCGGCGAGCCTTACCATCTGCGAGTTTGACTTGGATCTCGCCCGGACCATTCCGGACGCGGACGTTCTTGGGTAGTACCGACAAACACGATGCGCGAAAGAAGTTGTTCGTCGCTCCTGAGTCAAGGAGCGCGCGCAGTGGTCGCCGGGCACCGGTGACGTGGAGGCTGACAATGATCAGTCTCGAGTCGCCCAGCGTAGTGGTGGCATTGGTGTGTGCTTGGAGCACGGGAGGGCTCGAAGGTTGGGCTGCCACCGGAGGGCCCGGTCCTTCGTTAAAGCCAGCAGGGCGCCCCGCACCTACCGGTCCTGGTCGTTTTTTGAATGAGCGACCGAGGAGTGTTCCGCGTCGACGTGAGAGACGACGGGAGCTGGCGCGCGGCACTCCGCCGCGCGATGACCCTTCTTTCCATAGCGGAAGCAAATGAGGGGGCGATTGCTTCGCCCAGCGCTACCGCGGTAGGACCCGCGACGTCGATTGCTCGACGCGTTGATGGCGTCGATCTCCATGGGCTCGGGGGTAGACTCTCGGGCTTCCGCAGGTATGGCTGCGGCGTACGATGCAGCGACCATGTAATCCTCGCGAATCGCGAGTGCAAACGCCTCCTCGAGAGAGGAGGGCTCAGCTCTAGTGAGGCAGTAGCGGGTCATACCCTCGCGCATGCCGAACACAAATACGTGGACTTGCGAGGCCATGTCGATTGGCTTGGTCACGATGCATGACGCCAGATGTCGCGTCTTCTGGACGTAATCACGCATGGACATCTGCCCTTGCCGCAGAGCGAAGAACTCTGCGCGAACGCGAGACTCATCTTGCGGGGGCTCGAACGCGAGGCGCAAGTCGCTCTGGAGAGTTTCCAGAGTCGGGAAAGCCTCGGGGTCGACAACCAGCTTCCCGAGGGCCCATTCTTTGGCCTTCCCGGTTAACCGGGAGAGGAGGAAGTTCATCTTGGCCGATGACGCCTCGATGCGTCGCGAGGCGATAGCGATGTCGATCTCGCGGAACCACCGGTTTAGCAAAAGCCGGTTTTCACCGGCGCCAGAATACGTAGACGTCTCCATCTTGACGACGTCATTCTGGGATGGACGCGAGGGAGTTGACACCCGCCGATTCGCATCGGCGAGCTCGCGTTCCATGAACTCTTGTGCTGCAAGACGTTGCTGGTCGGGCGTCGCTGAGCTCAGCAGCGATGCGACGACAGCGTCTCCGGACACCGCCACGAGGCGGTGAAGCGCTTCCCACTACACGCGAGTGAGATGGGGGAATGCAGCATGCTCCAGGGTCGCCCCGGAGATCTGGACTTGGCTCATCGTAGACTTGGTCGTTGGAAGGACTACTAAGTGCTACCAG